CCCCCCCGCCTCCCACCACCTCCTTCCCCTGGATACCTTCATTTTTTTTCTGCCACTGTTCAGTATGCAGCCTGATTTCTCCGCCAGCTTCCTCAGGATGGAGAGATAGATAAATACAAGAGGGGAGGGAGGGAAGCTCTTACTGCTCTGCTCTCCATTCCTCCCCCAGCCTTCCCGCTAAACCCATTGTACACGCAGCTCCTCGGCACCTTTGAATACTCTCCTGCCTCATTATTTACCTTCAAGTAAAGCGATCGGAAAAGGAGATCAAATTGGAATAACAAACCTACCTGACTCTCTTCTCCACCCCCCTTCCCCCCCTCCCCAGCAGCAACATCAGCGAGAAAAGAAATGTTTCACCCATTGAAACAAATTCAGACGTGCGCAACAAAACAGATTTTCCGCACACCCCCTTTCAACACCCCACATCTCCTCGCAAGTGAGACAGAAAACAAGTGGGAGAAATTATACTGGGCGATTTAGATGGCTGTTGATACTTTTAAAAAGAAAATTAAAAAACAGAAAGGGACGGGGGAAAAAAAAAAAAAAAAAAAAAAAAGGGGGGGGGGGGGGGGGGGGGGGTTGGAATAATAAGCCACCAACAAAAAGGATAAGACATTTTCCAAACCGGATGGTTAAAATCAAAAATGCAATTAACGAAGGGGAGGGAGTTGAGGAAGGGGGGCATCCACCTTTTATGGTGATGCAAATCTGGTTCCAAAATAACAATGAATTAAAAACAACCCCCCCAGAAAAAGGTGAATACCAGATGCATCTTCATCAAGGTTCCACCAGCTGATGGGCTGGAGGTGGGGTGAAGGGGTACTTTTTAAAAAATAAAGACGCACATTAAAAAATACATATACATATATGTATGTGTATATATATGTATGTGTGTGTATATACATATATATAATATGAAAAAAAAAAGAAAAAAAACTAGAAACAGAGAAAGAAATTTGTATTTCGGAACTCAATCCGTCCCCCAACAGCCCTCCGCTATGAAAAGAAAATCCCAATGGATGTGGAAAAATTATATACACATATATATCTCGATTCCCAAGAAAATCTTACAAACAGAAATTTATCACCGGTAACAAAGAAAGAGAGGAGCTCGCAAGCACCAAATGCTCCTGGCAGATGGCTCCTATTCTTGGCTTTCAGGGGAGGGGAGAGAAAGCCGGGGAAATATTTTATTTATTTATTTAAATTTTTTAAAATCTCAACATAAATATTCGGATCCGCCGCGGCTCAGGCTCAGCCCCGGGCTGGCTCCGTGCGAGCCGCCGCCCCCCGCAGCACAACAACTTGCGGGCTCGTCTTGCGGGGCGGGGGGGCAGGGGTCCGGCCGGGCTTGCCGGGTGCGGGGCCACGGCGTGCCGGGTATTTTTTTTACCACCCCCCAAACTTGTCCTATGCTATAGGAGGGAAATGGGGACCACCCTGACCTGCCCCTTCCCCGTGCCCCGGAGGCGTGGGAGCAGCGCGGAGCGCTGGGGCCCGCACGCCCCGGGAGGCGCCCCCACATTTCCCCCCCGCCTCGCGGCACGGGCCCCGGAGACGGGAGCGGCGGAGTGGGGCTCCCGCTCGGGGACCTGCCCCCTACTCTGCCTGCAGGCACTCGCCCCTCTCCCGGAGCTTCAGGGGTGGGAACGGGGAGGAGGGGGATTCTGGTGCTGGGGGGAGGGGGGATGCCTCTTTCCCTCCCCCCCCTCTGTTTTTTCCTTCCCTTTTTTTTTTGGGGGGGAGGGGGGGTGGCGGGTGGGAGTATATGTGTGTATTTTCACTTACAATGGGAGCTTCAGCAAAGTGCAGCCTCCACTGCTGCCCCGCAGGCGAGCCGGTGCCGCTGCCCGACCCGTATTTCGTGCACTCCATCCCCGGTCCCCGCCTCGGCTTTCCTCGCGCCCCCCGCCACCGACAGACACTCCCGCCCGCACCCGGCCCCTCGGCAGCCCCTGTCCTGCCTCTAGCCCCAGCTGAGCTGGTTCTGCCTTGACCCGCGCTTCGGAGAGCTCTTTTCCCCCGCCGGCGATGCACCTGGGGCGGGCAGGGCGCAGCTGGCCGGCTACCTGCCCCTCGCTCCGGTGCCGGGGGGCTCGGCCCCGCCGCCGCCGGCCCACCGTCTCCATGTGCTTCCCGCTAAGTCCCCCCGGCCCTTCCGCGTCTCCCTCCCTTGCTGCCCACCTTGATCCTCCTCCCCCCACCCTCCGCGGCTGTCACGCCGAGGCGAGGCTCTCGGCCAACTTTTCCCACCGCTCCGTGCTGCCCCCGAAGCAAGGAGCGAGCAGCGGGGCCGCGGGCGAGCGGCGGAGCCCCGGCGGGGTGGCCCGGCCCGGCCTGGAGCAGCGCGCCCCGCTCCGCCGCCCCCCGCGCACGCAGCCGCTCCCCGGGAGAGCCCCGCGCCGCGCTCTGCCCGCCGGCAGCTCCTTCCCCGCTCCACGCCGCCTGCCCTCCCGCCTGCCTGGCCGCCTCACCTCCGCACCGCTGCAAAAACGTACACCCCCCTCCCCTCTTTAATTCCCTTCTCCTCTCCCTCTCTCTGAAGTCATTTACCAGCTTTGGTTGCTCCTGGAGTTTCCCCCCCACACACACCCCCCCTCCCCAACCGCTTCCTCCCCTTCCCTAATTTTGCTTCTCGATTTCGGCTCGGTCTGGTTCCAAGTTCAAACTTACGTGTGATAATCTCTCTTTGTGACAAGTGCTGCGGGTTTCCCTGCTTGCGACGGGACATTGCCCTGGCATTTACACTGGCATCGCCTGGAGAGCTGCACTGGTTTGGGGGGATGTGTTGGGGGGCCGATCCTCCTCCTCTTTTTTTCCCCCTCTTTATTCTTCTTCTTCTTTATCGAGTTCTTCTTTCAAAAAAATCAAAAACGAAAAAAAAACGCCTCCTTTTTGTTGCTGCTGTGGTGCACTGGTTGGGATTCCCTCTCAATTAAAAATCATCATCATCATCATCATCAGGAAAAGCTCTTTCTCGCTCTCTTTCTGTTTCACACACTGTCTTTTCTCCACTGCTTCTGCCACTTGGACTTCCAGATCTCTTCTTGAACTTAGGAGGATATGCACCGCCAGTGACACTTTTCTCTTTCCCTCTTTCCAGAGTGCTTGGCAAATTGGCAAGTGCGCTTTTCCACCAAGAGGGTAAAAAAAAAAAAAAAAAAAAAAAAAAAAAAAAAAATCAAAATTAAAATTTAAAAAAAAACTGCAGTTAAAAAAAAAAGAAGAAAAGTACTAGAATTGGGATAGCCCCCACTCAAAAAAAAAAAAAAAAATCGCCAAAAAAAATGTTTCTCAAAGATTGACCCTTGCTGGGTAGATATATAGAGAGAATTTTTTGAAAAGGGGTAGCCGAAACTGTGTCTCCTCTTTCCCAGTTCAAGTGGCACTGCTTTGCCCTGGTGCTTTTGGATTGCCAGTGCTCCTGCACCACTTTGCACTCTTTCCCCCTCGCCTGGCACTGGGACTGGAAGGAAGGAAGCCCCCAGTGCAGCTGGGCTGGTGCTGGCTATTACTATTATATATTGCAATGTGAAGATGGCGGAGTCCTGGTTCTCTGGGAGCGCTCTGTCTCTCTATGGCTGGGGCTGCCTCTGTACAATGGGATAAAATTCAAGTTCAAGTGCGGACGTGACGTTTAATCTGCACTAGAGACAAAAAGACCCAGAGAGTAGGAGCACTGGGGGCGACTAGCGGTGGCTTTTTAACATTGTACCCTGCAAGAGAACAAGAAACGCCACTCGCACACACCGCACACACCGCACACGCACACGCACACACACCGCACACACACCAACTACGGCACACGCAGGGCTCGCCGCCGCTCCGGGCTTTGTGCAGCGCCGCTTTCAGTGCGCCGAGCGCCGGCGGCCAGGGAAAGAGAGGGGGGAAGGAATAAATCCGCATCCTCACGCACGGCCAAACTTCCCCGAGCCCGGCGCCGGCCGCGGCGGGGGCGGCTCGGGCGGCTCGGGTGCCGGGGTCCGCGGGGGCGGCGGCGCCGCTGCC